GAGTAGCAGAGAGTAATTTACTCACTAATCCGTCTTCTCAAATGTATGCGGACAGGTGGCAATGGTTCCAAAATAGCTACCTGACACTAGCCAAAACAGCAGCAAAAATATAGAGGAAAATGGCTAATGATAGGAAAAGACGGAAGGTGATGCTCGAAAGTGCCTTGAAAGTAGCAGAGAGTAATTTACTCACTAATCCGTCTTCTCAAATGTACGCGGATGTATTACAAAAAACAAGAGAAGAACTTGGGAACTTAGAGGGCTCCAAATCAGAGCTAGAATGACGGATCTTGAGCTCAACGAACAGATGTCCAAATATTTTTTTGCTAGAATAAAGGCAAATAACCGCTCTAGCTCAATAGAGGGGCTTAAGGAATTAAGGGGTCAACAGATCACCCGTACAGACAGCGAAGGGATGCTCGAGGTAGCTGAGGACTTCTATGACGAACTCTACAGTTCTAAAACCCCTTCAGTCACCCCTACAAGTATCCGTACTGCTAGGGCCAAAATGCTACAATACATGGACAGAACAATATCGGATGATCAAGCCAAAAATTTGGATAAACCGCTATCCCTGGATGAGCTGGAATTCGCCATTCGAAACATGAACAACAACAAGACCCCGGGCATAGACGGTTTAGCAAAGGAATTCTAGGAAAAATGCTGGCCTCTAATGGGCCCGGACCTCTTGAACTTTATAATGACAGTTGGGAAAAAGAAGGGTTGGGCGAATTCCTTAGTACCAGTGTGGTCACTCTACTCTGTAAAAAAGGCGACCCGGAAGACATTAAGAACTACACATTAATTTCTCTTCTCACACTCTCCTACAGAATACTGGCCAAGGCACTGGCTTACTGCATACTGGCCCTAACAGACAAGTGTTTTCACATAGACCAGTCCGGATTCATACCAGGAAGACACATCCTAGACAACGTAATGACCCTCAACGAAGCCTCTAGGAAAGTTGTAGATAAGAAAATTAGGACAGCGATTCTCTTCTTCGACTTCGAAAAGGCCTACGACCAGGTAAACTGGGACTTCCTAGATGCGAGCATGGAAAGGATGGGAGTTGGTCCCAACTTCAGGAAATGGGTGCGTGTGCTGTATAATAATGCCTCCCGTCCGTGTTCAGATTAACGGACTCCTCTCCAAAGGTTACCCAATCTCCAGATCAGTAAGACAAGGCGACCTATTAGCACTGCCTATCTTCCTGTTTGTAATGGAAACCATAGCCTCCTTTCTCCGTAAGGACCCTTCTATCCAAAGGTTGCCAGAAATGAACGTGAGGTCTCCGCACAACATACATTTTCCGACAGTAATCATGTTCGCGCAACTTCGCGGATGATTTGACGGTCTTACTCAGAGCCTCCAACTCATCAATGGCTGCCCTGGTCTGGGCAATGGAAGCCTTCAGACTAGCCTCAGAAATGAAGATAAATTGGGGCAAGACGATAGGTTGCTGGCTTTCAGATGAACCGTTGCCACATCTCCAAAGTCTGGAGAGCCAGATGTCATGGGAAAGGCCAGAGCTGCCAACGAGATATCTAGGAATCCAAGTAACGAAAGAAGGCCCAGCACCCCAGATGGCACAGAACCTTCTAACCAGCCAAATTAATAAAATGGGGAAATGGAGTCAAGCGTTCACATCAATAATCCGGAGAGCCAGATGTCATGGGAAAGGCCAGAGCTGCCAACGAGATATCTAGGAATCCAAGTAACGAAAGAAAGCCCAGTACCCCAGATGGCACAAAACCTTCTAACCAGCCAAACTAATAAAATGGGGAAATGGAGTCAAGCGTTCACATCAATAATGGGCAGAGCAATTACCATCAACACCTCCATATTCTCAATGATGTGGTACATTGCCTCGATCTGGACTATATCAGATCAGACAATCAAAGACCTGAATAGGAAAGCCAGAGCCTACCTGTGGGCAGGGGACCCGAACAGAGAGAATTACATCCCTAACATAGCCTGGCACTTTATCACAAGGAAACCGTCCCTGGGAGGACTTGGTATCATAGATCCTAGACAAAAGATGAAAGCCCTCCAAATCAAGTGGGTAGTCAAGTTGCTGTCTAAATAGTCTTTGCCCTTGAACAAGCTTGCACAAGACAGTATTAGAAGTCTGGCCCCGATTGAGTTCCCTCCAAATATGTCCAGACTGTTCTGGGTAATGAACAAAGACTGGATCCCTAAGGGTCAAAGAAGCCAGGGGAGACTAACCCCCACACAGTCCTCCCACCTGTACTGGGCTGCTCTGCTACGGATCTGGAGAGAGATCATGCCAGAAAAGCTAGGCAAACCAAGGTCTAAAGAAGAAGTGCTCAGGCAGCCTCTCTTCGGTAATCCGTGGATTAGAGATGAGGGGGACCACCCATGGACTTTGTCCAGCAGAGGTAATAGATGGCTATCCTGGATCAAACCGGGTGTTTGGCGAGTAGGGGACATATGGAACGAGGATGAGAAAAGCTGGCGGGACGAGGCGGACCTCAAGACCCGCTTGAAAGGCTGCCATCACAGGGACGGAAACTTCCAACCCGTGTAGCTGGATAGATATTCTAAAAACAGAGTTCACATGGAAATCAGGCGAGGAGGGAGTTCTGGTCCAAAAATCCTCCCCAGTTAGAGCCTACCAGTTCTCCCACCGGCAGTCCTCACCCGGGCCAAGGGATGTATTCACCTCCTTCCCAATTTTGAAGATTAAGACAGATGTACAATACATTCAGAACATCAATCCTGAAAAAGCAGTGCTGAATGTGTTTACGTTGCGGAAAATAAGGACGCTAGGCCTCTGGCCTAAAAAGATCTTCCAAATAAACATGGCAATTCAAGACCTTGAGTTTGACCCATCAGAATGGGCATGGCACCCAAAAAGAAATAGAACGGTCAAACCACCATTTCCAATATATGATTATACAGTTAACCTGGGTTATAAGATGTTGTTAAAAACAAAGGACCCAGACCCAATAATCAAAGGAAGATGGAGCAAATTAATTGGTTCTGAGGCAGACCAGATGGCAAAAATCCCATGGAAGAAGTACAAAACGATAAGACCTATAAAAATCAGAAGCATGCAATGGCTCATACCCTATGTGGCTCTACCGGTTAACCAGAGGCTACATGTCAGAAGAAGAAAGAACGACCCAACCAGCTCTGATGTCTGTTTGGTCTGCTCTGATCAACAACAGGAAGATGTGTTACATTGCCTAATTAACTGCAAAGAAGCCACAGAGTATTGGGCAAGAGCAGCAGCTCTTTGGGATAGTCTATTCCTTTCTCCCCTCCCAGAGCACCCCCTCCAACTACTCCTATGGAGACTATCCTTTCTCCCCTCCCAGAGAACCCCCTCCAACTACTCCTATGGACTAACTTACAACCTCGGCAAATCAGAGAAAATCTGGTTCGGGATGGTGCGAAAGGTTACGCTTTGGGCCATTTGGAAGGAGAGGTGCAGCAGAACACTGGAGGGCATGAAAAACCCACGGGAGAAAGTGTGGGCGGCAACCAAAGAGATGATTGAAGCGGAAATTCTATGTCAATGGAGGAAGGTGAAACTCCGGGTGCAGAACAGTCCAGAGACAGAACAGGTGACTCTGGCCAAATTCAGACGGGTATGGTTGGTTGATGACAAAGTGGCCTGGCTAAATGGGCAAGCTTTAAGATGGAAAGATTGGCACAAGTCTGTCAAGTCTTTCGGCCGGATGAACACTCAGGTACATGCAGATCCTTTTCCAATCTGGGCCGGATGAACACTTATGGCAGGCGACAGCAGGATCTTCACAGGGAATAGATGGAAAAATAGATTAAGGCGGTCTAGGGTTTAGGGGCAGGGTAGGTACAGAAACAAGATAAACAGGGAGCAGGAGGATAAAGATTAAAAAATAGGGGTTTAGGGTTCAATGGTTCAAAGAAGTGAGATGGGGTTTGGGGTGTAAGTGTGACTATTTAAAAGCATGAGTAGGAGAGCAACAGCGGTGGTCCTGAAGTAGAGCCTTCATAGTTAGGAAAAGACACACAAGATTAGCTGGGGTTTAGGGTTTATGAATTAGGAGTCTCTTCAAAACTATAGCTGGGGGTTAGGGGTTAGGGTTTAGACATTCAAGGCAAACAGGGATCAGATTGGTAGGGATCTCACGTAGCATATGGGCGGGGATCAGAGGTTAATTGACAGCCTTTGTAGCGTCCAGGTCCTTTCTTGCCATTCACGTTCTATCTGACAGGCCATTATGGTTGTCCTGAGAGGAAAAGGAGAACCAGGGCACACTGACAGTCAATCCTCCACGATGTGGAGTAATCAATGCTGGTCAGGGGTCCTTCAGCCAGATGGAAGGAAGCGTATGTGTGTTCATGATGTAATATTTTATTCTGACTTGCTGGTGGAATAGGAACCGGACTGATGCTCCCCAGAATGGAAATGGAGCCAGGGCCACGAGGACCTGTTTTTTTTTTATTTAAAAAAAAAAAAAGGAAACACAAAAGGATGATGACAGACTGTTTCGTTGGTTCACTGACTCGTCAGGAGGCTGAACCCTCGGCAATCAGCAGAATCCCCGTATTGATATCTTGATTTGTGCACTGCTTTAACCCCTAAGGAGACGGCGAGCAGGTGACATCACAAGCAGCAAGGCAAGGGCGAGGCAAGAACGTACTAGACGACAAGTATGGGCAGACAAATTGTAAGGAAAGCAAGTAGCAGGGTGGCACTGTGAGCAGCAGGCAACAAGGCAACACACAGCATTGATAAGGCAGCCAAACACTAAGGCAAGTGGCAGAGAAGCACTATCAGCAGAAGGCAGCAAGGCAAGAAGGCAATGAAGCAGTGAGGCAACAAACATCGACAGGGAAGCACATTGAGCAGTGGGCAACGAGGCAGAAAGGCAAGAAGGCACTGAGGCAGTGAGGCGACAAGCATCGACAGTGCAGCACATTGAGCAGTGGGCAACAAGGCAGCAAGGCAAGAAGGGAATGAGGCAGCACAGTGGCAAGGCAGCCAAATGATAAGGCAAGCACCAGGGCAGCATGGTGAGAAGCAGGTATCAAGGTTATAAGGCATCAAGGCAGTGAGGAAGCACCAAACAAGGCAGCCAAACTACAAGGCCAACAATCGAACAGCACACTAACACCAGGCAAGCAGATGGGCAACAAGGCAGCAAGGCAGCGAGGCAACAGTAGCATCGACATTGCAGTCAAACGACAAGTCAAGTAACAGTAAGCCAAGAAGCCAATGAGGCAAGAAGGCAGCAAGGCATCTGAGCATTGAGTCCACAAGGCAGCGCAGCACGATACAACCAAACAAGGCAAGCAGCAGGGCAGTTGGGCAACAAGGCAGGGAGGCAGCAAGGGAAGGCCAGGCAAGCGGATGGACAACAAGGCAGGGATGGAGCATAAACAAGGCAGTCCACACATCCAACAGGGACCAAAGCAGCTCATCACCTACTCACACCACAAGTAGAACTTCGAACACTGTAGGTTCACACCACCATTGGAGCCAGGGAGTCAGCTTGACAAACGTCTGTCTGTCAACACAGGGGACACACAGACACAGGTGTCCTGAACCCAGCATTCCCCTTCTATACTGTTGCAGGCACTCCAGACAAACAGGCATTGACTATTTGGCACGAATTAGAGGTGCGCACTTCACATACGAGAGAAGAAAGGAGACGTGATAGACACATATGATTGTGTGTGTGTGTTGGAGATCTTCCACTGGGGCTGGGTAGAGGTAGGACTGTCCAGTCCTGGTGCCTAGAGCTACTGTTCGGTCTATGTCGCCCTCTGACGAATAGGGTGATTGTCCTGAGTGCTTGTATCAGAGGTAGGATAGTAGGTGTAGGGGGTGTGTTAGGAGAATTGAAGTGAGGTAGGGTTGGGAGGCAGTCCTGCCGTCGCGCATCAGGGTACCCACTAGCTGTTGAGCTGGAATAGTACCAGGAAGGTGTCCCCTCTGATATCAGAATAGGTGGGAGCCATGAGGCCGCACCTGGCGGGGGTGTGGTCCATGATCGGCGCCAGTGGAATACCACCAACTCAGGAACAAACCTCCCCATGAGAACTTCCGATTCGGTTGCCAGTACTGGGTAGTTGCCTACTGGGAAGTCTCCCTCCGGCGCTCCAATGACAGTACCGACCTGGGTCAATACCCGACCTCTATAACAACCTGGGCTTTTTATTTAAAAAAAAAAAAAAAAAGAGAGAGAGAGAGAAGGGGGGGGGAGGGTGATCTGGCGACAAAAAGTTCAAC